CAGCAGGAACTCACAAGGATGTTAAACAACAACTACCAAAGTTACAGTTTTAGTAGAGTTGATCCAGATAATCTGTATTTGATGATTTTTTTCTAAAGTAACCTGTGGAATAAAAGTGGTGTTTTTTCAAAAGGTATGAGCACAAGGAGAATGTCCAAAGGATGGCCAGAAAGCTAAAATGTGTCAATATTTAAATGGAGTAAACTGAAATACAGGGTATTTAGGATGCTTTATCTCAGGTGAAAAATATTGGACTACGTCAAGAGGAGTCAACTAACAGTTAAAGGAAGGCCACAGCAATTAATGCCACTTACTATTAGATTACAGAAAAAGAGATCATGAAACTGTCGTGACCTCTTTTCTCATGCAGTTACAAGTTTGACTGATAAAAATAATAGTGCAGAAATAGATGGCTGTGTGCACTGCAAGACTGTATCCCCATGACATGATTGAAGAAAACAGAGCAATGCAAAAATCAACATGGCACATATTTAAATGGGTTAGAAAGTGGGTAATTATAGAGATCGTGTTGTTAACATAAATGCAGAGTCTTCATGGAGTATCTTTCTAGAGGGGGTCTTGCAAAGATCTCTTCTTGTCTGTGCTAATTAGCACTTATTGCTGCCTGGTGAGAAGGCATATATAGTTGTTACTTGTAAGGAGTACAGACTGAGAGACGGAGACGAGTCATTGTTCCAGACTGACAGGGGTTTTATAGAAGTGGGTGTGAGCAAACACTGTCTCTACATGGTGAAAAATCATGTCATACATTTGGGATCCGAGAAGGTAGGCTGTGCTTATGTAGCGTGGGATTCTCTCCTGGGCAGCAGTAAAGTCTGGAAAAGGTTTGAAACGTGATTTTGCAGCATTGATGCAGTAGCTATGACTTAGAGTTTGCCATGTTTCTTGGATAAACAAAGAGAAAAATAAAATAAACGTATATAGTTTATAGATTGGTGGTAAAACTACCAAATGAATGCTCTCTCCAGTTCTAACGCTTATGCTTCAAAAAGCTATTGGAAAAACCTGCAGTGACTCAGAAAAATGCCAAGAAAATGACTCAAGGCTGCAAAACACGTCCTGTATTGAGAAATTTGGAAAGACGCTTTAGTTTGTCAAGGGGAAGATTGTAGGTAAAATTCCTTACAGTCAAGGCACTGTCAACAGCGAGAGAAGTTTGATGAGTATTTTTTAAAAGGTGGGATTTTTTAGTTCAGTCACAAAGCAGTCTTCAGGCATCTTCTGGCTCTTGCTGTGGGAGACTACTGTTACCTCCTAGATTACTTTTTCTCAGGTGTCCATTCAACTCTGTCAAAAGGGTAATTAAGCAAAATATTTCTTTTCAGTGTTTGAGAACACTGGTTGGGCACACAGGTGGAGTCTGGTCATCTCAGATGAGGGACAATATCATCATCAGTGGATCGACAGACCGGACATTGAAAGTCTGGAACGCTGAGACTGGAGAATGCATACACACCTTGTACGGACACACCTCCACTGTGCGTTGCATGCATCTCCATGAGAAAAGGTAAGGGTAAGGCTTTGTCCAAAGCCACAGCCACCCTCTGCCTTGTCATTTACACTTGTGCTCACAGGAAATGCCTGTTAACTTGGGTACCTCATCCAACACTGAGTGAAATACAAACCAGGCAAAGCATTCACACTAAACTGCGTAAATCAGCACAAGGGAGGAGATGATTAATAGAAGCAAAAGCATAAGATTACTAATTAAAGAACAGAAAATTGAGTCATGTACTTTATAAAGTGACATTCTACGTTATTTCAAAACTAACTCTTTGTTACGCTGTGATCCAGTCTCCCACACTCTGAATAATTTCTCCTGTTTGTCAACGCTACAAACTTTTACTCATTTTACAGAATGACTTTTAAAGTATCGCTACTGCAGTATTTCATTTAAATATTAACTGATTATATCATAATTTCTGCAATAGTAGACTATGTTGTGATTCAACAAATATTGGCAAAGCTCTTTTACTTGGCTACTGTATGGAGCTGTTGACAGAGGGCCTGTTGATTGCATTTCTTCTTTTTTGAAGAATGATAAAGTGTTTTCTTTATCAATTCCATTTACTAATTCCTTCTCGTTTCTGTTCTTGCCTGAAAAAGCTTTTAAAAGCATAAACTGAAAAAAAATCAGTTACTTTACTAAAAATAAAACTTCTAAAGATTTTTGTTTAATTGTTATAATTAGTTAACTCAGTCATTAAAACAGAATGTTCATAGCACTGGCTTGAGCTCAACATATTCATAAGCTTTCATAGATAGATACAACAGTCCACGTAATTTCTCATGGCATTGTTTTGCTGTTCAGGAATGAAGTGCCTTTTTAAAGACTGATTGCTAATTATATCAAATAGACAGATCCTGAGGAGGTGAATAGAGCAGGCTAAAAAACCACTCAAGTCATTTGTGACCCTAATAACATGTCCTGCCAAACCAGATCTTTGGTGGCTAGTGGCCTAATGCTATCTAATGTCCCAAATTAAAACACATAACTGATTTATACCCAAGTCTAATTGTTTTAATACTTTTATGTCTGATGCTAAGTACAGGAGGTGTTTTCTTGTTCCTCCAGAGTGGTCAGTGGTTCTCGAGATGCTACACTGAGAGTTTGGGACATAGAGACGGGCCAGTGTTTACATGTTCTGATGGGCCACGTAGCTGCAGTTCGGTGCGTTCAATATGATGGCAGAAGGGTTGTAAGTGGCGCATATGATTTTATGGTCAAAGTGTGGGATCCAGAGACAGAGACCTGTCTGCACACTCTGCAAGGGCATACTAACAGAGTCTACTCATTACAGGTATGTGATTTTCATCTCCTGCTTTAGTCCTTAAATAACATTAGAGGAACTTTTTCTTTTAAAGCACCCAGTACAATAAAGCCCAAATCTCTACACCAGCAAGTTAAGTAGTTTTGTGGGTTACTGGGTTGTTCGGTTGGGGTTTTTGTGAAATCTTGGATGTATTTTGGAGCTATGTTTTTGGTTTTCCCAAAGAAATCAGATGATAGAGTAATTGAAAATGTGCCAGAACCCCCACTGGATTAATGTTCTGAATTATGCAGATCTGTTTATCCTTATTTTGTAGTCCCATCTTCCAGTTCCAAACTGTAATTCACAGTAAGGCTGAACCTAAAATTTTAGTGTTCTGATGTAAATCTCCAGCCTTCTACTTCCTCTTCTCTGAATCAAGGCCAGAAATCAAGGCCAGATCTACAGCTGTGAGGCTTTGTCAACAGAGACATGTTATTGTAGATGCAGGTTGTTATGGTCCTGCTCTGTGGCCTTGCTCTGTTGCCTACCCGTCACCCAACTGCTCATCAGAACTAAGCTGGCAAAGATACACATAGACCTCATGTAGGCTCTTCTTACCTTTACCAACCCAACAGATCATCTTGTTCATTCATAGAGTCAAAGTATCACTTCCAGGCGTTGAAAGGCGAAATAAATTAATTTCATGCTTGTGCCTGTTCTCACCACAATCTGGCAGGACTTGAAAAAGAAATTAACAAAGAGCTCAAAATGGGGAAGTTGCATTCAGCGTTGTAACTACTCTGGTTTGTGGCTCAGAAAGTGAAGCTCAGTGCTAGAGACATTTTTCATAAGGTGTATCTTTCATAAGGCATCTCTCACCATAATAGATTAAGTATGAACAAAATACCTAATTGGTTTCCTTTCCCAAAACATGTAGTAAAATTTATCAAGAATCTCCAGCCCTTCTCTTACATTCCTATACTGAGGACTACTCTCTAGAGAAACAGAAGGGAAGTTAAAAATGCTGTACTACCTCCCTATCTCTTAAAAATATTCCGAAGGCTGTATTTCATCTTGGGCAGTCTGGAAACAGTATAGATGTTATTCTGCCTTATCTTCACCAGTGGCTCTTGTTTGGCTTATGAATATTCATGTCTTGCTCTGATACTGTAGTAATTATGTAGCAAATAATTGGGTTATGTTACACACTGATGCTGTTTACACCCTGTAAATGGAACTTGGCATTCTGAGACAAATTTCTGGAGGGCAGGAGGCTACAGGTGCTTACAGTTTTAGGACAGAAAGATTCTTTAAAATTGCATGGGGAGCTCCTGCCCTTTGGCCTGAAACAGCCCCAAACAGCAGAACTCCCATAACTAGAACAACCAGGCTGAATAACCAGCCTGTCCCCTCCCTCCCCACTCCATAGCAGGTTCTGTTATACCTCAGTATTTCTCCATTTGTAGACCCTCTAACATTTTCCAGAGATCCATATGCAGCAGTTGAAGACTACTGACTACGTTGTGTTTTCTTATTCTTTCTTAACTGCCTTTGAAGTAATCCACAGATTGTCAGGCTTCATGGATAACATCTCAGCCACTGATCCAAACCTGGACTACTGTAGTCTGCTTGACTATAGCAATATCAAGAGTAAAATTTGTCTTGATGCCCAGCCTTAAAACTCTCTTTCTGAATGCCTTATGTACATGGGATACAATTGGTTTGCAGGAAAGGGCTAAAAGAATTCAAAATTTGTTTAGTTTTGTTTAGGAAAGAAAAACATTCTGTAGTGTTTCCACTCAACAAGTCTGCTGGGCTACTTAGCACTCCTTGTCCTTTTATCTGAACCGAAATTAGTTCACATCTTTTTTTTTGGTGTCCAAAAGCGGATGCAAAATTCCAGTCAAAGTCTTATCAATGCTTACTAGAAGAGAGAAGTTATTTTATATGCTTTATATAGCATGTCCCTACTTCAGATACCAGAGTGTCTTTTTTGGTACCTTTTCACCAGAAATGCAATGCCTGCAGCAGATAAGCAGTCTGTAGTTCCAGTCCCTCTCTACGTTCTTTTGAACCTAGGTGCCATGCTCAGCCATGTTTGACTGTAGAGATCTACAATGTTAGTTTTCTGCAGGTTTTACAAAAAAGAAGCAGTCTCAGATAGTTGAGTTCCCTTGGTTCAATGGGTTCTTTCTTTGCCATTATTAGATACTGATCAGTCCACACAGACAGGTAGTGTTGGATTGCCCTAGCTGTAACAAAGACTCCTGTCCAACCTTCATTCTCCCAGGCTGCAGCTGTACCTTCAGTCATTCCCTGCCAAGCTCAGATTGTCACAATTTTCTCTTGACTTTAACACTCTTTGCTTTGGGTCAGTTCTACCATTTTAAACGTCACCCAAATCCTAATGAAAATACTAAATGCCAGAACCACCACCTCCCCACCTCTGGAAGTCTTTCTGATATCTCTAATCTTCTCTGCTGTGAACAAAGTTCAGAACAGTATAGTATCCCTGCCTCAAATTTGCCTGCCTCTCTGTGAAAATGCAACCAAGACACCCGCTGTTTCATGTGGCTTTTTACTCTGTCACGGAAAAAAAACCATGTTGGTTAAGATCGTTTTCCCACAAACCTGTGTTTGCTGCGCTACTGACCGCATTGCTAAGGGCTTACAACCAGACTGATTATTTGTTAATTCCTTTGGAAGTTGAAGTTAGGCTGACCAATCCATAATTCCCCATCTCAAATCATCATCTCCTTCAATAAAGAAAAGAATTGCATTTGCCATCTGAAACCTCGTGTGTTTTCCATGGGTTCTCAAAGACAGCAGCAGATGTCTCCGAGATTGTCTTAAAACAACTTGCCTTAAGTGGGTTTTTTTTCACCATTCTAGCAAAAGCTTGTACGCAGTTGTCAGTGGTGTTGGTGCTGTGAGCCTACACTCAGATGGCTGAGGACTGAAGCAAAAAAAAAAGTTAAATAGCTGGCCTCGCTTGGTGTTTCCTTCCCACTGAGCATAAATGAGCTTTTTTATTTTGGCCTTCCTCTTGTGTTTTTTTGTTTTTGTTTTGTTTGGGTTTTTTTAGCAGAATAGTGTTTTATCATCCTTAACGGCCCTTGCTAGTTTTATCTTGTTTTGTGCCTGCCTTTCTAATTTTTGTCCCAGTGTGCTCTTTTAAACACATCTATTGATCTAGTTTCTACCTTTTGTACAATTCCTTGTGCTTTAGCCAACTGGGTCTTGGTAATTTACTACACTTCCTATCTTTCCTTCACACAAGGATAGTTTGTGTCTTTTAAGAAAGTGCCAACTCTCCTGAACTCTTCTTAGCCTCAGAGAACAGATATATAAAAACCTCATGGGAAGGAAGTCTCAAGTTATTGAAGTATTCCTCCTGGAAGCCCACTGGTTTTATTCTACTGCTCTTTTCCCCTCCTGTTTTGAGAGTTCTGGGCTCTTACGTTATTGTCACTATCACTCAAGTTACTTTCCACCTTTATATTCTCTACATGTTCAGTCTTCTTGGTCAAAAGTGTCTCATCTCTTATCTGATTTCTCTACACATTCATGTTCTACGTGTTTTATATATAATATATGCACAGAAGAACACAAGAATTTGGACATCCATGTTTTTTTTTTCCCTACAGTGGCTAGGAAGTTGAAGTTCCTTACTGCATACAATTATGATTATAAATGGCTAAACCCAGCGTTTTTCAATTACAGTCCTTCCATTTTCCTATATTTTGGCTTTTATGTAGATGATTCTAGATTAATGATGTTGCCCTTCTCCAGCTTAAAGTCCCTCTGACTTGTGAAAAGCAGGTTTGGCTTGTTAACATCTTTATTAGGAAAACTACATTCTCTTCCTGTTGTGCACTGCAGTATAGTCAGGATTCTGTTGTGTTTAAAGGAGTTGTATCACATTTAAAAGACCAGTGGTTCAGAGTCTTCCTCCTCAAACTGTGTATCTCAGCCCACGCCTACAACAGGAAGTTACACTGACCATGAATCACCTGCTCTGATATCAAACATGGCCATCTCCACTTAGACTGAATTCTTACTTTGTAATGCAGTTTCCAAATGCATTTAGTTAATTAAATGCTTAATAGCTTTCTTCATAAAATTCTAATATAATTGTTTGTAATAGATTTACCTTTCTTGTAGTTTGATGGTATCCATGTGGTGAGTGGATCTCTTGACACTTCCATCCGAGTTTGGGATGTGGAGACGGGCAACTGCATTCACACGCTAACAGGCCACCAGTCTCTCACAAGTGGAATGGAACTCAAGGACAATATACTCGTGTCTGGGAATGCAGATTCTACAGTCAAAATCTGGGACATTAAAACAGGACAATGTTTACAGACATTGCAAGGTGAGCTTAAACTACCTTCATGGAAATCAGGCTGCCTGCAGTCATCTGTGTTGCCGATTCCAGATAAAAAAACTTCACATACAAAGCAACAAGCACAGGCCACTTACAACTTAAATATTTTTTTGCTGACAGCTGTATGATCTTTCTCTGAATTAGAAGAACAAAATGTATTTAATCTCATCTATTCAAATCACTTGCCTATTATGAAAGGCAGATGGTCTGGACTGATAGCAATTTGCTAGGGGTGTATTAGCCTAACAAGCCACAGAAATACATAGGAAATGACATCTCAAAACAGTCAGTCAACGTATTTATTTAGGGGTCGCTTGAATGTTTCAAAGCCTACTGATTAATTGGATCAGGAGGCAAAGTACACTGTCTGCTGCAATAAATCAAGAGAAATGAGTGGAAGATGTTTTCTTTATTTCAACAAGAAGAAAGATTTTTGGTTCCATTTTGACAGTTGCCACTCAGGCATCGTGCACATGAACACATTGTTATGTTTCTCCCCACATAAAAGGTCTTGTATCATTCCCATATATCATATGCAGCATCCCTGGCTGAGGCAGAAAATTAAATTTCCCTGTAAAGCAGATTCTGCTGTTTTAAAAGTATATATTTATAGGTCAATATATAACTGTCAATATTTACTGATAGAGTAATCTCATAATAACACTTCAAAGGGACTTGGAGACAAATGCTTACAGTGGTCACCTCATTCTGGATGTTTGAGTTCATTTTCATGAATGTCTGAGTGCACACTTACCCTACTGGTTGTATACAACAAAACAAGATGACTGTAACAAAGAAGGAAATGTTGGGGAATTTTTCTATACCTGCATTCCCTTTTTGAAAGCATGGCAAGGCTTCTGTACCTTTTAATGTCCAGAACCCAAGTTAACACATCTAACAGATAGAAAAGGCTGTATGCAAATCGCTAGGTATTCATTCTACATACAGTGCTGTCTGACATTGCTTTCTAATTACAAATAAAAATGTTTTGGTTTACTGTTACAGGTCCCAACAAGCATCAGAGTGCTGTGACCTGTTTACAGTTCAACAAGAACTTTGTAATTACCAGCTCAGATGATGGGACTGTAAAACTTTGGGACTTGAAAACGGGTGAATTTATCCGAAATCTAGTCACATTGGAGAGCGGGGGAAGTGGAGGCGTCGTGTGGCGGATCAGAGCTTCTAACACAAAGCTGGTGTGCGCGGTTGGGAGCCGCAATGGGACTGAGGAAACAAAGCTGCTGGTGTTGGACTTTGACGTGGATATGAAGTGAAGGGCAGAAAGATGAATTTGTCCAAACGTGTAGACGATGTTCTCCTTTCCCTCCCCCTGAAAAAAAAAAAAGAAAAAGGAAAAAAAAAGAAAAAGGAAAAAAAATCCCTTGTCCTTGGTGGTGCAGGATGTTGGCTTGGGGCAACAGATCCTAAAGACCTACAGACTACGAAGGAGAAGACAAAGATGACAAACAGTAACTGACAAGACAGGCATTTGCTGTCTTGTCACATAAAAAGGCTACACTTTTGACCGGGGCAGCTTTGCAAAAATACGACTCTTGAAATGAAACCAGGTGCAATTATTTCTTTACTTTCCTCCAACTGCTCCTTGAGCAATTTGGAGGTGAAAAAAAAATTGTTACAGTTCTTGTTAACAGGTTATTTTACCACAAAGATGTTGAAAGAAGCTGCACAGGCGAGCCTGCTCGTGCACCCCTGGGCCACCCTGGGTCCCGGCAGCCCCTCCGAGCAACGCGCTGTCCCTTAGCCCCGCTCTGAGCAGGGGGTTGGACTGGATGACCTCCAGAGGTCACTTCCAACCTCTACGAGCAGTCACTGGTTGACTTTCAAAAACTAGAGAGCATCTGCAACGAAAAAAAACCAAACAAAAACAAAGAGTCCATTCCTGGTGTGGAAAAGCTAAAATATTACTGTGAATTGTTTTGTACAGTTTTATCAGAGCTTTTTCTTTTTTTTCTTTTATTCCTTTTTTTTTTTTGCCAACCATTGCCAATGTCAATCACAGTATTAGCCTCTGTTTAATCTATTTACTGTTGCTTCCATCTACACTCTTCAACGCATAAGTTGCTCTGAGGTGGCAAGTTGTCCTGGGTTTTGAGAGTCCTCTGATGGATTTAATTCGCAATGCTGGTGCTAGAAGTAGGTCTTCAATTACGGGATTGTTGTCCCACCCCTGTACTGTATTCCCAGTGGCCAAACTTATTTATGCTGCTAAATGAAAGAAAGAAAAGCAAATTATTTTTTTTTATTTTTTTTTCTGCTGTGACGTTTTAGTCCCAGACTGAATTCCAAATTTGCTCTAGTTTGGTTACAGAAAAAGACTTTTTGCCACTGAAACTTGAGCCAACTGTGCCTCTAAGAGGCTGAGAGTGGAAAAGTTTCAGACAATTAAGAGTGAAGTTTGCCTGCAAATAAAGAATTGAGTGTGTGTGCAAAGCTTATTTTCTTTTTTCTGGGCAAAAATTAAAACACATTCCTTAGAACAAAGCTATTGCAGCCTGTTCTGTGGGGAAATTTTTCTTTGTGAGGGCTGTGGTGAATGGAATGAACATACGTTAAAAAAAAACTGACAAAATTTTTTAAAAATATTATAAAATACAAAAATGAAAATAAAGTTGCTGGTCAGTCTTAGTGTTTTACAGTATTTGAGAAAAAAAACAACTGTTACAGTTATTGCTGGGAGGAACTGACAGAGCAAAAACTTAATGTTTTTGTAAAGATGTCACGTGCAAACAAAATGAGAAATGGAAAGAGTCAAATGGTTTGCCTCATTCTCCAAGAGCCACAACTCAAGCTGAACTGTGAAAGTGGTTTAACACTGTATCCTAGGCGATCTTTTTTCCTCCTTTTTTTTTGTTTTTGTTTTATTTATAGTCTGATTTAAAACAATCAGATTCCAGTTGGTTAATTTTAGTTATGTAACAACCTGACATGATGGAGGAAAACAACCTTTAAAGGGATTGTGTCTATGGTTTGATTCACTTAGAAATTTTATTTTCTTATAACTTAAGTGCAATAAAATGTGTTTTTTCATGTTAGTACGTCTTCACGTCTTTTTCCCCCCCCCCCTTCTAATTCTTGTTGTTAGTTTCCTATCATATATCCTACAAAGGGTAAAGCAGATCAAGTTGCTCAGTTTACTGGTAGATACTAAGATATGTCGCAGGACTTTTTATGGAGCCCTTCCACAAACAGGTGCGCCAGTGTCCTCTCCTTCGGTTGCCATATGCGATTTGTCACGTGGGCTGTGACAAACACGCGGGAAAGCTCTTAGCTTCCTGTCGCTAAGAACGTGTCAGGATTTGACTCTGGAGGGAGTTAGCTATAAAAAGCTGCTCAAGTACGTAAAACTTGTCACAATAGCATCTTGTTACTGCATCTTAAATTGAAACTTGATGTTTATTATTTATGGATTTCAATCAATTGATTGCAGTCTGACAGCAGAGACTAAATCCATAAGTACAACTAAAATCAAAGTCAGGATTGTAGAAGAGCTTGAAATAAAGCTTCTGAAGAAGAAAAAAACCCCACCAAACCCATGTGATTCCATATCAGTCCAAGAGCAGTTTTATCAGTGCCCTGAAACCCAGGTAAGTCATCAGCTGTCTCAGAAACTTACCGCTTGAGTGTCAGTTACTTTCTCAAATCTCCTTGACCAAAATCATTGTTTTCTTCTATGTAAGACTCTTCTGTCAGGGCACAGCATTTACTTGTTCGTGACAGTTTTCCCTGTAGAAAACTGTCATTAAAGAAAACCAAACCAAAACATTAGAAGAGAAAATACATGGATGGGGAAAAAAATATATTTATATACTTAACAACATCTATGACTGTGCCATTCAAGTGTAGTTCCAATCCCTACATTATGCAAAACAAGCAGTGCTGAAGGATCACGCTTCCATCTGGCCTCTAGAGATTAAAAAGCCATACAAAATGACTAAGCAGCTACACATTATAAAAATCTGTTCATTTGGTGTTTAAGGGGAAAAAAATTGCGGCAAGTACTGCCATATAAAAGCTATGATCATCTTGGTATTTACGTAAAAACAATTAAAGAGCTAATCCTCCTAAAACGACAGTGAAAGATTGCCAGGACTTGACATTGTTCTGCTGAGAACACTGGCCAGGACTCTCAGCCCCCCAGTGACAGAAGGTACGTCAGTCTGGGCAAGTACTTGTGAGAGGAGATGGAAATAGAAAAAATGAATATTTAATGCAGGGGACAGAGCAATAGCTTTTAAGATTATGTAATTTTCTTCCGTGATTTGTAGAAATTGCAGCAACGTGTTTTCAAAGAGCAAAGGCGCTGGTCTGACAGTGCAGGAGAATGAGAGATTTTGGAGTAACATTGCGCTGGAGGGCAGGAATACAAATTGGGGCAGAAGAGAGAAATGACAGAAGAGGAAAACTTAACAAATCCAAATCAGTTCAAGCTGTGTTTAAGTACATTTTAAGCAGCCAATATGACCAGGAGCAAAATGTGCTTAACCAGAATTGACAAGTTTTCCAGTTGATAGTGTAGTTCCAACACTATCTTATATTCAAATTAATGCAGAATAACTTGAACCTGTTAAGCAAACCACATTTATAGCTTCCTTCATCCCAGATTTAGGTTAAAAAAAAAGGATCATTGGCTGCAAAGTCAAGATATTGTAGACTGTCACACTAAATACAAAACAACACAGTACTTTAAAATTACTTTTTAAAAAGTCTTTTCCCCTTCAATAAAACAACTTTACAAAGTTAATTGTGTTAGTGCTCTAAAGACTTCTATTTTGTGAAAAGTCTGTTTAGGTTTCTAGAAGTTGATGTGGCTTATGAGACATCTGAACAAAACAAATTTCTGCTTATTGAGCAGTGAATTTACTTAAGTGACAGTAAAAATGGGCCTGTAGTAAACACGTCAAGTGTCAGAAACTGTTCAAGCAGCTTTTCTTTACATTCTTCTTTTTACCCCCTTTATGTTGACGTAGTCAATGTAACATAGTTCACTTGGTATGAAGTCTTCAGTTTGGCAGCACGTGCTCCAAATAAGACTGTTTAGGAAACATCTTCATTTCATGTAATAAGATTTTGATTTTAAGGTGGGTGGAGTGGTTTTTTTCAAATAATATTTAAGAATACTAGTATAAGACTATAACTGATTTATGCTCTCAATATATGCAGGCACTTCTTGAATCTAGTGGCTCAGTCATCATAGGCTATGTCAAAATATCTGCTGCTATCCTGGAGAGATAATTGCATTAGTGTTTCTGGCATCTTACCCGCTTGTTTTAATGCTGATTCCCTTTTTTCCTTTTTTTTTTTTTTAGCCTCAGAAAGAGCTTCCTCATTTTCTCCTGTGTCTGAAGCCAAGACAACAACATTATAAGATTTTTTTTTTTCATAGGTATTATTCTTAGTGGACCTTGATTTTAGCTAACACTGAGTCAAAACTAGCATTTCCACTTCCTCCAAGAGCCTGTTCCTATGGTCTCCATTTACTTACTCAACAGATAAGACCAGACATTTAACAGCTGTCTCTACACCAATTTGCAGTGCAGATCAGCTGCTCTCCCAACAGAGCACAGTGCTGCCTTGGAGCCAACAAACAGGATTCCTTCGGGGTGCATCTAAATCTGGAGCAGCTCTCCAGGAGCACACCTCAGGCACTTGAGCCACTAGTGGAGCACGTTGGACCAAACCAGAGCTAGTCCAACACCTCAAAAATACATGCATGTGGACATTAGGTCCTCAGAACCAGCAAACTGGTGGTACAGCTCTGCTCCTTCTGCACAGCACTAATTGCTAGCATAGGTGTCACCTTCAACAAATCCTCTCCCACAGCACCCCTGGCTCCTGATGTGTAACCTGCAACCAGCTGCCACCAAACATCAGCAGCAGAAAAACAGAATCCATGTGATAACACTACAGATTCTTTGCCAGAGGAAAAAAAAAAGTTCAGATACCTTCAACTCTCTCTCAGCATGCTTTTGGGGAGGTGCTTCTGATTGGCTTATGGAATCCACTATGAAAGGAATACAGATCTCTCACTGTCAGCCTGATCAAAATTTTCTATCAGCAAGTCAACTCCTGAATCATTCAGAAAAGAAATAATGAAATTCTGTAATTACATAGGCAAAAGAACGAGGTTATGGCAATAAAAAAGAAAAATCTGCCAGTAATTATTTGAGCCACTCTGACCAAACAAGTGTTAATTACTTAAAGGGTAATATCCAAACATACTGACCACTGCATCTTTAATAAAAGTGAGAATATTATTTTCTTTCCATCTCCTGCCATTTTATCTATAACCTTGATCCCTAACATTGTGCAAAGATACACATGCTGTGTTATGCTGTTTAGTGTTTTATGATGATATATGATGTTTATGATTATACATGAAGTATATGATCTATATAAATCAGGTTTTTCAAACTTCACCTAAAAATGGCATACCCAATTTCTCAAACACCTTTTCAAGTATCAGTGCAGGTTTATAAATACAACAGATGTTTTAACATAAAAGCTGTTCCAGATCCCTTCTGAGATAGACAGTCTGACAAGCTAGGAGTCACCAAAAAGTTGGCAGCCAGTAGAGGCTCTTACTCCCTGTTCAGATTGCCAAGTGGCCCAGCAGCTGCAGCGGTACTTCAGAGAAAAGCAATGGTGCATTGTGCTCCCACCAGTACACACAGCCGAGGGCAAATGCTGCAGCGCTCGGTGTGACTGCGGTTGCCTAAGAACCAATGGCTTTATGCCCACGTGTACTGCATTGCTCTAGCCCGGATGGGACATAAGAGAGTCCTATCAAATTATAATTAAGCTAGGACAGAATCTCTCCACCAACTAGAGATGGCAGAAATCATTAATCACAGAGGTTGCCACTCAAGAGCTTGGTGGCACAGAAGAATCCAACAGTGTTTCTAAACTACACACTCTACAGGACAACTGAGACTTGCCCAAAGGCATCCTCCCGCTCTCCTCTCTCCTCACCTCTGCCTTGCTCCAACTTCAACTTCAGTGATTCCTACTCACAAGCTGATTTTGTCCAACTGTACATGGTAGCAATACTTTTGGTGAAAGATAAGCTGAGCTATTTGTCTTCTGCATCTCTGTGCTCCTGGAATCTATGCTCCACTTTTTGTGACTTTCTGCACAGGAATAGCACAACGTCAAGTCTAACACTGAAGGCTCCAAGGCCTACATGAAGATGAGAAGACATCATTCAGCCTGGAGTGAGAGTTTTATCTTTAGAGTTGCTAAAATGATTTCCACATTGAGTCTATCCTGAAAATAATATTCTAGACTTGGGGCAATTAGGCAAGATTCAAGTTGATTTCAATTCCTTATTTTTCAGACACAAAGCTTTTAATGCCACAAACCTCATCTGTCCTGGGCTTCTTCATGCCTGCAATACAGGCACATCCTAAGAAGTTTCACAGTTTAAGCAGGATTATGAATCTTGTTGCCTGGAAGCTGGGAGAAGTCATGGTCTATGGACAGTGAAAAAACATGGAAGGTCTATATGAGCTGGATCAGAACTGACCTATGAAATTCAGAGAAAGGCAGGTGCCATTAATTTGGGGCTTTTTCTGTCCAAGAGATCATAATTGTAAGTCCTACAACAGCTAGTGTGGGGTATTTCATCATCCTCATCCACAAAGCACAGGAGTAAGCTTTCTTTTTAGTCTGGCTGCCCTGTAGTTGAGGATACAACCAACTATGTTAGCTCTGACTTGCATGAACTTCTCTTACCTAGGGTGGGTTGTTTGATGGGAAGGTGAATGAAATGCCCTCAGACCTCCTTCTTCTGTCTGGCTCCTCGTGTCAGCCAGCCAGATGTCTGAGATGCAGGTTTCGCAGGGCGCTTACAAAGGCGCGCTATTCGAGAGTGCTTTGTCTTTTAATTTAAAACAGGAGACACGGAATGTAGAACATTCAAAAACTTCAAAGGCAGTTTCCATTGCCAAAGGAGCTGGATTTCAACTCAAGTTCATTCTCTAGATTAAATACTCAAATCTGACAGTGTGGAAAGATGCTCACACCTTCGAGAGGA